ACTAGTTAAATTGATCTGATCATTTTCTTAGAAAAATTTTAACTCAAGTGGTAAAGAAGATATGAAAACCAACATATGGTATGGTTGAACCAATATGATGCGTCGAGTAAGAATATTTTGACCTGAGATTTAGTTAAAATCTGGTTAAATCAACCAAATTACTTTTCTGACTTTTCAATCAAGCAGAATTGACACAACAGGAAGGATATGACATTTGTATACCTTATAAGATATGAACCTATCGAATAGAAAATCGAATTTCAAATCATCGTTTTCTGCATTAATCTATCAGTAATTTTTTGCAATTATATCTTGTATTTTTTGGTAATTTCAGATGGTGAAGCAATTTTTATTTGTTTTCGACTTAGATCATCCTGAAGGCTTTTACTTCTTTTTCTTTATTTGCTTATCTTGCAAACTAAATGTTAGCGGTTGAATATAAAATCAAAGTTAGAACTATATATAATTTAAGCACTTAATTTTATAAATAGGGAGACAATATTCGAGTAATCTTCTTTAGTTTTTATAGTCCCTTCGCAGAAAAGGTGTTAGTATATTTCCGAGGTAAGTTATGCCTGTCGTAAGAAGCCAGTGACGTCCCGACACCATCCAACACTGTTTGGAGTGTAAATGGTAGTGAATGAGTGTTTCATTCACGACATCTGACCAGAGGTATAACTAGTATCAGTGATTCGACTGTTGTGACTATTTAAGGTTGGTAGTGTCGTGGTAGTTGTGATTAAAATGCAAATCACAGAATAATGATACCAAAGTGTAAAAAAGGATTGTATTTATTTACTTTTATCCGATGTTGAATTGCATGTTTACACCGGGTGCTTCGAAAGAACAGATTCACCTAACACATTTATTAAATCCCTATAAATTTTTATTGTCTTTGAACTCTTTTATAACAAAGATTTTACTAAATGTCTAAAATGGAATATTACGGAATTTCCTATTTTCAAGAACTAGTTCCATTTGCATGAATTTATTCCATAGAATATTACGGCTTTATTCCAATTTATATTCTAAAAGGTTGTTATATATTTGCTATAATATTGGAATCAATATGGCAATAAGGTACTTGTATATTGCGTCCCCTCTATTTAATTATTAACTCGTTAATTCGAAATTTGAGGTTTTTCAAAGGTTGGATTAAAAGAAATGGGAACATTTTAGAAAAACACTTAACTTTTTCATGTCATTTGATTATGTTGAAAAATCTGACTATGCAAAAATTGTAGTCATTCTATTTTTGTAAGAAAAATGCATATATTCTTTTATTATCGTCTCCCAAAAATTTTGCACGAGAATGGGACAATCAAACGGTAATGAGTCAAAAACGAAGTTATATCTATATTTCTGTAGAAGCAATTGTGTGCTCCAGAGATATATTCGAATGTAATGACGGATCTCTTTTTTTCTAATATAATAATTACATGAATGTGTATTATATTATACATGAATTTTAATGAGAAGCTCTGTTTTGCGCTCTTCTGATTATTATTTTGGGCTAGTTGAGTCAGTGCACCTGAGCACTTTTACTCTCTATTAACTGCGAGGTTTCTTCAAAACCCCTCTTTGCGCCTTGACCGCATTATTGTTTATCACTTTATCAGACTAAGCAATAATTGACCTCAGATCAGCATATCTCCCCGAAGAGCCTGTAACCATTCTGAGATTTGATAACGCGGTGCTAGTAAGTCTGTCAGATTTCGCTTTTCTGATATTGTATGAAAAAATTTTTCCTGGCTCTCACCTCTTTAGATGACTTCGTAGTTGTGGGCCTATGCTCGATACTGAAGACATTTACAGTTTCGGAGGTTATTTGCAATACAAGACAAATGTTTTTTTTAGATATTCGAGTGAATATTAAACATATTCTTGAAAGGTGTTTGTATTGACTAAAACATGAAAGCCTTTTTTAGATTTATCATACAAGAAGTTAATCAAGTATAAGTAGTCAATTAATTTCGAATACTATATATACGTACAAACACATGTTTTCTTAAACCCTCAAAAACTTAAACCCAAGTTTAAATCTATTTACCCATGCAATTAAGCCAAAGTTTCATCTGGAACAAAAAAAAATAAAACTATCGTCCATTTGGCAGAGAAACGTTAAATTTTATTATAGTATCTAGACATAGAGACAGTCAGAGACAGAAACGATATGTTTTGCATCCCAAATGTAGTTACAGTTAATAACTTTTTACACTAACTTCATTTCAATTTCTTCTCCAGTTCCTCCAATTTACGCAAGTTTTCAATAGTTTCCTTCAGTTTTTCACTCAATTGAGCTTTTGCGTCCTCGATCCTTTGCTTCAGTCTAATCACCTCATTCCGTTTCTAATATTTCAATATAAATTAATAATAACTAATTGTAATTATTTAATTACTAATAATTCAATTTTTATGGAAATTACTTTTTGCAAAAACTTACGTATCGGCGGAACCTGGCATTGTTTTTTTTAGCTTGGTAGGATGAGAAGGGAGCTTGCCGTCTAAACAAAGATACGTTTAGATTGTTCAAAATGATTCGTGGAGCTGCGATACTTACAAGGTGAACTGCTGTAAGGCACACCTATTAAATTTGACCAATTCAAAAAGTTTATACATTATTTTTTTTTTGTTTTTTTTTGCCAAATTTAGTGGTAGCGTTTAATAGTGTAAAGTTCAGTCTACATAATAGATGCTTAGCCCAGAACAAAAATTTTTCTAATTTTTCTGAATACAACTACATAACTGAAAATTTATATAGAAGTATATAAAATTTTGATATGAATTCCAAATTTTTGAAATATGACACTTGTGACATTTTTTGCTTGGATTTTAAAATTAGTTAGAAAAATTAGAAAATTAAGAACAAAATTTATTTCAGTATTTTTTTTTGAAATTTTTAAAAGCGCTATAGACATAAATAATCGACTCTTAATTTAACGATCATCTGATAGAATGAAGGCTCTTAATAAACGATTGAAATATTTTACGGGCTATTCTATTATATTTTCCCTAGCTTGAGATTTGACGACGTATGTTGGAAAATTTCAATTCTCAATTTCAAATTTCTAAAGAGCTGCAGTATATGGCAGGGCTGTGAACCGATACCGAATCGTAAAACGAAAAATTTTTGTCAGAGCGACAACCGAAACCAAATGTACACATTTTTTTTTGTTTTAAACCGGAACGGAAAAAATTCAGATTTGAAGCCCTGGTATATAAATGGCAATATTGCTTGGTTGACACCTATGAAACATGGTTCATCTGAGATTCAACAAAAATACCAAAAATGACGTCAGCATAGAGATTCAATGCTGATACAAACCAACTTAGTAAATAGCCGGCTCTGAAGCCAAGTATGCAATTAAAAAATAAATCATTCTTTCGAAAAATAAATATCGTTCTCTGCAAGTTTCTTAATTTGTCTTTCCTGTTGTCTTGTACAGAGGCTTGGATAATAACCAACAGAAATGAAAAGGCCTTAGAAACATTCAAGTAAAAAAATTTTCGAGAATTCGGATATGTGCTGACAATCAGTGTTGAATTAGATAAAATGTTAAGCTATGTGATATGTATTGTGACACTGACGAGTCAAATTCAATGTATTAGATGACTTAGTTATGTTTGGCAGAGGCAAGTCTTCACATCTGCAAAGACCAAGCAACTCAATATATAGGCAATGTTTATTACGATCGCTTTAACGAATGGATTATATATAAATAGTAATAGTATACTACTACTATCAGTATATAGATATATAAATAGAAATACTATACATATTATATATGTATATAGTTAATTAATTTATTTTCAAGAACGACAATAAAAAATAAAATGACTTTCAATATATCCTGGACATATATGGTATTGAGGCTACTAATAAGTACTTATGTCTTAAATATATCTCATATTTCTAAAATAATACTCATCAAATATGAAAAGATAAAAAGAGTTTTTTAATTGTGAACGTTATTCTTTACTGTTTGCTTGCAATTATAGGATCCAAGATAGTTGATAACTACAACACTTATCTTATCAGCTCAAATCGGGTGATTTGAGCCGATAAGAATGACCGATCAAAAGATGACTCGGCTAACTTAGAACTTATTTAGAATTGCTAGAGGTACAAAATTTTAAACCTATGGTTCAGATCGAAAGTTTTCGTTTGATACAGTTTAATAAATGAGAGTGTTCCTGTTTGATTGAACAATATACCTCTTAGGTTATAGTATGTCATTACCACCCGTGAATGATGATTAAATCAGTACAATATGCTTAAAATTGAATACTATATTAATATATAATATATTAATAAATTATTATTACGTGCAATATCCAATTCGTTTTTTATTGTTACTGAGCTTCGGTCGTTAGATATTCAGTTGTCTTAGTTACTTCGTTGTTGTTCATAAGGGCAGTTCCAGGTCGTTACCGGCCGATCTTTATTCATACCTAGCTATAAGTTCCGTAGTCTCAATATGGCTAGTGTTGCACAATCATTAAGTAAATGTTTAGTTTATTAATTTTGTAAGTCTAGGGTTCTAAATTGTTGGCTATAATTTTTTATAGATAGTTGTATATATATCTACAATATACATATCTTAAATTTATATTTGAAATTAAGTTTGGATTTGGAAGTAATCCAGTTAATGAGTCTACGCTTGATGTAAAGATGGAATCTGATTTTAGTCGCCTATATACATATAGTGAGTTGAACAAACTAGGTTTATAAATTTTATAATAGAACGACTTATGCAAAAGCTATATGTTTAGTTATAAAGCTGTTAAAGCTATGTGGTTAGAAAAGTTAGTTATATGTCTGTTTTTCAATCATATGGATTATATCAAATTACAAGATTTTGTCATGATTAAAGAAGAGAACAGAGTAATAAAAATTGATTTCAGTACATAAAGAAGAGATATCATTATGTATGTGACATCGGAAGTGTGCTCCATTGTCCTTTTTGCTAATCAAAAACATTTAAAAAGGAAAGACTAAGTTTCATTACTTATTATCAATTAATATTTTCTAAGAGTATATCAAGATTAAATACTTAAGCTGTAATTTAATCACTTGGCTAGACAGATCCTTGTAGATCCTTTATTTTATTTTGTAATTTAAACTGCAAACAAAGAATATTTTATATTTAACTTAAAAATAATACCTTAATTAGTTTATCTGATGAGGGGAGTTTAGGGAAAAATAAGTTTTCCAATATTCGGAAGCCACAATGAAAAGGGTTTAATTTCCTTTTTAATCAAGCACAAAATGCACGAAATTGCAATTTCGGATTGTAATTGTTTTAAGAAAAG